CGGCCCGATAGTTGCCTGTCGGTGGATGGCCGCAAAAACCTTGCCTCTGCGTCTCTTACTCTGCACTCTGCGCTCTAACACACGCCGCCGCACCGTCTACCCACTCTTCCGCTCTGGGCTCTTACCGATCGATAATTGCTCTCGATCAGCTGATTCCTGCCGCATTTTCGCAGTATTTTTGCTAGATTCAGCTTGTAAAAGCTGAAACTTATCTGGTTTCGATCTCAATTTTCAACAATGAAGATAGCGAAGCAAGAGTTGAGGATAGAGTCCAAAATGAAAAGAAAAGAATACCCGGACACACAGTTTCAAGGAAATCATGGGAAAAGCGGGCCATGAAGGCGACTTCGAGCTTCAGAACCGAGTCAGAGATGGTTCTCGATAATAACGAGATCACATCTGAGACACTGCTTTGAAAACTCGGTCAATAACATAAAAGAAATGGGGATATTAAGGAAAAGTTTGGAGAAATTGCGAAAATCAGAAAGAAAAACAAGTTTCCTAGGGGAATTTCATGCTAAATTCATGCAAAATGTGGAATAATTTCAGTAAGAATACTCACCTTCGAACATTGAAGTCAAAAGTCGAAAAATTTCAGCTTTAACAAGCTGAATCTAGCAAAAATACTGCGAAAATGCGGCAGGAATCAGCTGATCGAGAGAGCAATTATCGATCGGTAAGAGCCAGAGCGGAAGAGTGGGTAGACGGTGCGGCGGCGTGTGTTAGAGCGCAGAGTGCAGAGTAAGAGACGGAGAGGCAATGATGATAATCTCCTGAAAGTTTTCGGCTTCCCATCGACACGCAATCACCGGAACGCTCGCCAGCGTGGTCGTAGGGAACGCCCCACCGTCCGGTGAGCGCTCAACTGTACATCTGTGGTCGCGGACTTTGCCTTTAAGGTCAGCAAAGGGTCGCCGAGTGAGAGATGTGGGGCACACATGTTGTGGGCGGTGCCAGTCCGAGGTGGCGGGGCCAGAGTTCTGTAAAACACAGAAGTGGATGGTCAGGAGGGATCACTGTTTGATGCGGCACACAGCCGTTGTAGGCGGAGCGTGCGGCTAGGCGGCGGAGCCAAACGCAGAAATATAGAATGGTTCCATAACAGACTCCAGGCACCGGCAAAGACGAGCAAAAATGTGCAGGAGCTCCGCTATTGAAGCGAGATTTACGCGCCCATTCTGTGCGGAGCTGTGTCGATGTTGTGGGCGGGCGAAGGTCAAAAATTCACGAATTAGTTGCAGAGCAGCATAGGCACCGGGGACAGGTGGATTGAGGTCCACAAGGGGTCAGCGGACGAAGTGGAGGAGACATCTCAAAAATGGGCGGGCTGCTTTCGAGATGGGCAGGCTCTTGCTGAAAAATTTCGTGGTTCGCATCTGAGTGAGCTTGGAGATCAGGAAAAACTTTTGAAGAGAAACATATGGCGAGAGTTCAGCATGTCTGTGGTGTGTTGAGACCCGCCCACAGTGGGTGGAGCGTGTTCTCATGCACGGGGTCCCTATTTTCACTGCGTTTTAGTGCATAGGTCGCCACACTTTTGAACACCTGTTGTCACACGAACATTTGATTCCAGTCGGTTCGCTGGCTGACGCCGGCGCGATTCCTTTTCTAATAGGGCCAGGCTTTGCCGGTTGCTTACTTCGTCGCGCCCACCTGCTTGCATATGTTTGAATGCTCAACTAATACCCGGTTTCTCTCTCATCTGCGCATTTGATCAACGCTGCTTACCACCATTCATAGACGGTAATAGTGTCGAAAATAGTAGGTATGATGTTATTGCTCAAGACTATGTGTACAGGTGAAATAAAAGCCAGGATAATTGTTGAGTATCCAGTGCAGAAGGAGGTAAGCGCGGCGAAGCCGGGCAGTATGAAGGAGGCGAGTCGACTGGTGGCTTCACAAATTATTGAGGTAGAATGGAGTTTAGCGGCTCGGGACAGCCCATCTACACATCTCATATCCAAGGGCCGGATCGACCTGTTGGAAATCCCTTGTAGGGCTGAGCTTGAGCGGTTCCCTCCGCATTACCCCTCCTTAGTAGCTCAGCTCAGCAGAGCGTTCCACGACTGACATTATGCCATACTCGCCACACACTCGGAGCACAGAGTGACCCTTGTATCTAAAAGTTCTGCGAAAATAATTATCGACATTGGGGTAGTAATAGTTGCGTAGCGCCAAAAGTGAAATAAGGCCCATACATACCAACAGCCAGACCACACATCAGATTGCTGAAACCGACAGTTAGGCCGCCACCGAATATCATATAACCAGAAGCAACGTTACGAGCGAGAATAGCTTTCTCGCTTGGCTTAGATAGATCAAGCCCCTCACGTTCAAAGTCCTGGAATTCATCAGCGCTTCCAATTACATGGTACAGTTTCTGGTACTGAGTGAACATTTTCGTTTTGTATGAAAATTCCAGATCGGAATGAGCTCGAGAGGAAGCCGTAGCTTCCTCCTAGAGATGCTTGATCACTGCCATGAATATTGTAAATTGAAGTGATTGGGGGATGTATCAATAGCCCCTAGTGGAGGTGAAGGAGGCTCCAGAAGTCGCGTACATCAGCGCGTGGGAAGCTTGTGCTGAATACCAGCTCCCCTCCTCTCAAAATCCCCCTCTGACTCCCTCTTCTCAAGGCGCAAGACCACCTCTGTTGCGTCCTATACTACAACGATGTGCAGTGCTTGAAATCAGGATTCATGTGCTGCACGACATCAGAACCGAATCGATTTAAATCATCAATTCCTAGCCGCGGAATCGCGCGCTCTAACAGAGTACATATTCTTAGCTAGTGGAATAGACAGACACAGGCAGCGGGCTACTTACAACTTGAACTTAATCCCTTTGAACGCGTGGACCTTCTCTTTTTCTCTGCTCTCTCTCTCGTCCGAATGGCACTCTATGGCCGTTGTGACTTCGCTCACTCCAGCTTTTCACCGACTGTAAATAGCTTACCCACCCCGGAGTTCCCTGTTCTTGAAAAAAAACACTTCTCTCCTTCTGGCTGGCCATAGCGGTTTTTGCACGTCTTCGAGTGCTTTGGGCAGCGCGCATTGCCTCTATCCGTGCCGCGTCGGCACAGGGTTCCGGTGAAGCAGGACCAATGCACAAAGGTGCAAGATGTAAAACGTAAGCCATGCAGAGACGCAAGAAAGTCAGGAAAGTCGTACGTGCCGGCAGCACACTGCTGAATGAGTGATTGTTGGGTCCATGTGCGAGTTCAGCCGTTACCTTGGCTTTGCTCAACGCCTATTCATCTCCCATAATACTCTACGACCGAAACCATCGCTTTTTGTCCCTTGCTCACGGCAACCAATACACAGAATGGCACCTACACGTAAGCAGTTTTCGCCCAATTTGGCAATCTCTCATATCCATCGGCATATCTTTTCCAGCAGTAGTGTTACATTAGCTGCCTTATTCGTACAGCAATTGTGGAGGGTTATGGAAGCCAACCTGTTCCTGTTCTAACCAGCACTGTCGCAAACTTATAGTCCTAATTCCTATTGACATTGCCGCAAATGATGCAGTCCCCATCTGTCCGGCAACTATGACAATTCGGGTGGCAGAGTCATGAGAACATAAGCGTTTCAAATCGTCGTCCACGCTGAGAAAGATGGTTTGGGCTCAGTATACGAGCTGAAACGGGAAACCCGCGGTGTCAGCGCCTTCTCGCCGTGCCGTTCCCATAGAACTTTACGAGATCCCGGCGTGGATACTCCAGATGGTGCGTTGGACTGGTCTACTTTCCATAAAGCACGGTGCAAAAAAAAAAGACAGGCCAAAAAGACTAGTTTCCGCGCAGAAATGCGAGAAACCCGTTTGGGTTATAGGGCATTAACAGAGTCGAGAACTAAGAGTGTTCAGGATAAACGGTGTATAAATACACCACCGGCTTTGCCGGCTGATGCCTGCACGCCTTCTTCTGAGATAAAGAATGGATTTGCTGAGCGGGAGTGCACTACATGATTCTTTTATATGGTGAGGTAGTAAACAATTACACATTGCCTCAAAGTGGTACCGAAACATGGATTTTATTCGCGACTCTGCCTAGCGGTAATCCTTCTCTAATTCACCTAATCGCTGTTCACTGCGGCGCTTTTAATACCGACAGCTTTGTGATGAGTTTCTACTAAACGCCACTCTATGCTTCCCCTCCCGTACTCTCCCTCACTAATCCCACCCACCCACATTATACCCTCCCCACTCCCACTTGCCCCACCCACTCCCCATCCCGGCCGCTGCACGTGCTCACGTCCACCTGCCACGCGAGCAGCTCGTGCAATGGTTTGGAGTGCACTACATGGTTCTCTTATATAGTGCAGGGTGTTATCACAATCAAAACATTGGATTGATACATCTGCACCAACTGGTTTCGCCACCGGCTAGCGGTCGTTCTCTCCTTTCATCTAACATGTTTAACCTGCTAAAAGGCATCTTGCGGACAGGACAGCCATAACATACATATACATTACAATACCAATACATAGCCGACAAACGCGACACACCAGAAATTAGGTTTATAGAATCGTAACGATTCTGGTACAGTAGTGATATGAGTTCAAGGGCTGCAGGCCAATTCCGCTCACAGCATCGAACTGCTCCGTCCCGTCGGATATAAGCGCGTTACTAAAGCCCGAAAACTATGAGTTTTTATATGAACGGCTTGTAAATTCATTCTGATTAGTGAAATGAATTCAAGGGCCGCGAGGGCCAACTTCGCACAGCTATGCGATGACACCGCGTCCTGGGGTTATATCAGGCGTTACTAAAGTGCCGAAACTATGATTTTTATATGAACGAGCTTGTAAATTCATTCTGATAAGTAGTGATATGAGGTCAAGGGCCGCGAGGGCCAACTCCGCATAGCTATGTGAGGAACTCGTTTGGGTTATAAGGCGTTACTAGAGCCCAGAAACTAAGAGTTTTTGTAATGAACGGCTTGATTACAATCATTCCTGATAAGTAGTGATATGAGGTCAAGGGCCGCGAAGGCCAACTCCGCATAGCTATGCGAGGCATCCGTCTGGATTATAAGGCGTTACTAGAGCCGAAAACTATGAGTTTTCATATGAACGGTTTGTAAATTCATTCTGACTAGTGAAAGATTCAGCGGCCGCGAGGGCCATCCGACCACAGGCTCCTGTGAAAGGACCCGGTTTGAGTTATAAGCGTACCAGAGCCGAATACTCAGTGAAGTTTTTGTATATACGGCTTTGTAAATTCATTCTGATAAGTAGGATAGAGTCAAAGGGCCGCGCGAAGGCCAACTCCGCATAGCTTATGCGAGCATCCGCATCCTATAAGGCGTTACGTGAAAGAGCCCGAAAACTATGATTTTCATATGAAACCGTTTTAAATTCATTCTGATAAAGTGAAATGATTCAAGGGCCGCGAGGGCCATCCGCACAGCTATGTGAGGAACTCGTTTGGGTTATAAGGCGTTACTAGAGCCGAATACTATGAGTTTTTGTATGAATCCGGCTTGTAAATTCATCTAACTGATAAAGCTAAGTGATAATTGGACGGTCAAGGGGACCGCGAGATGCCAACTCCGCATACTTGTGAGGCCATTCGTCGGATTCAATACCAGCGTCTTACACTAAGCCGAAAACTATGAAGATTTTATACGTCTAATGGATTTGTAAAATCATTCGAATTAGTGAGATGATTAAGGGCCCGAGGCCAACTCCCGCATAGCTATCGAGGCATGCCTTGGGTTATAGAGGCGTTATCAGAGTCGCGAACTGAAGATTTGATAATGACGCGTGTATAAATTCATCTGCTAAATAAGTGAATAAGTTACAGCCGCGCACTGGCCGAATTCGCACCAGCTACTGCGAAGAAACTCGCGTGGGTTACCCGCGTCCCAAAACGAGAGATTTGACTTTTCTATATCGTCTACTTCTATTAAGTATCCGATATATAAGCTTGTCGTAAAACGGCCTGGAGACCGATTCCCAACAGCACGGTATCGCGAACCCCGAGTGGGTTCTACCGTTACCGACGGCAGATCCGATGAGCTTTCTGTAGTAGTTTCGGCTGTTTATTAATGTTGTAAAAGCGGGCTGCTAAGGGCCAATCCCGCAACATAGCGAGGTATCCCGGGTGGGGCGTTACCATAGCTGTGAGCTAACAGTTTTTTGTATACGTCTACCATGAGGAGTAGTCGTAAGATCGGCCGCGAGGGCCAATACCGCACATGTGTGCGAAGAACCAGAGTTGGTTATCCGGCGTGTAAGCATGGCCCAAGATCTATGATTTTGTATACCGTCCACAAATGATAAGTAGTAGTGAAACGGCCCGTGAACAGCCAACTGGGCTCAATTTCCACAAGATAATGTGAACAAGTTATGTATTACCAGTTTCAAATTCTGCATTACTGTAAGCTACGCTCACATTAATGCGTGCCGCGTGTACAGATTGTATAAGTGACAAAGCAGTGAAGCCGCTAGATATCACTTTTTCACCAAATTCTAATTATTCACCGAGCCGCTAAGTGCGAACTTACTGACCATTGTGCGAAGTGTGAAGAGCACGTTTTGAGGACCCAGATCCAAAGGGATTTGGTTAGCCAAGAGCTGTCTACATTACAAATTACGGACTTATTTCATAACCCTAGGCAGGTGAGGCAGGTCAAACTGTGTGTTGTTCGGCTGTAATACGTGTTGCAAATCTGCAACAGAATAAAGGTGGTAAGGTAAAAAGAAAAGGTCGATATATCGTTAGACCACAGATTCAAAAGGAATCCTCTTCGATCAGATTGAACTCAGGCGAGAATTCATAATTGTACGCATGAGCTTTCGTCGGGCGCAGAAAACGCCCTGCTCACAAAGATAGTCTTGACTGTGAGAAGATATACATTCTCCCTATAGTTATCTTGCAGTGCGCCGATTTGGCCTGCAGGAATTCACGTGTCTTCCCCGTGTGTCTAACCGCCCTCCTCGGGCTTTAACTCCGCTGATTTGGTTGCGTGAACGACAAAACGCGAGCGGTCCGTCGAAGAGTAAGGAGATGAAAGGGGCTAAGGCCATTAACATCGTTTACTCGTCCGTGTCCGCACTTGTCTAAGCTGACGCGCATACAAGTTAATATAATATTCGCCGTTCAATGCATATAACTATCATCACACCATTGGCATGTCCCAATTGTCCTGCCTAAGTATCGTTACTGATAACAAAACGTCTAGTGATCAACCGAAGACCTAGGCTCACAACAATTATGAACATGCTGCAATAGCTAAGCAAAATCACATTCAATTACCGTGTTATTCCTAACATTGGGAATGCAGAAATAATACAATTTGCCCAGTAGTTTAGACCGGAAAACTGAACAAACTAGCGGCGGTTCCTGCGCCCATAAGTGGCAAATTAACTTGGTTGATCTGACACCCGTTC